TACGACCTCCTCGCTTATCCGTCGCAGCGTCCTGCCGAGAGGTCTGCATCGGCCTTGGGGAGACGCTGGCCTCAGCGAGTGAGCCTGGAACGCCATACCGCCTGGTGGTGCAAAAGGAGCCGCCGAACAAGGTGGGACCACGGGAAGTTGCTTCGATTCGCAGGTGCCAATGTAGGCGGGGTAGGGCGCGAAGTGGGACTACAAGTTAGGGTGGAGGAGGAGGGGGACGAGAAGTCTCACCATTGCCGCCGTGCGGAGGTTCGACTTGGGAGCAGGAACAGGAACAGTGCGCCGCCAGAAGCACACTTCAGCCACTCCATCGGTGTAGTTCTGCTTCCTGTCAAAAGCAATGTACGATTGCCATGGACGGCAAAGAGTGTCGAGCTAATGACGTAGATGCGGACAGAAGTTACTTGAGACGATCGATCCTCCTGCAGCAGTGTCATGACCTTCTGCTTGAGCAGGTTCGGGTCGCTCACAAAAACGGATTCAGAAATGCGCTAGTCGTCCCGAGCCGATTTGTTGGTTGATCCAGTCGATATGCCCGCAGGCTGACATGAGACGGAGGCGGCAGGGTGTAGTCCAAGTGGAGGGTAGCAGGTGCAGCCCTGCAGATGCTTGGGCCAGCAGCTTCCCTCTATCTCCTCCTCCTCAAGGTTTTCTCCTCCCCCTCCTCAAGGCCTGTTCCTTTTCCAACCTCCTCCTCCCTCTCCAGGATTCTCTGGAGCTCTGGGAGGGGCCGACAACATCCAAAGACCTTGATCCTCGATCCTCGACGCTCCTCCCAACTCTCTGGAGCAGGCCCGTCGTCCTCCTAAGAATCGGTCCCCGAACCCCTCCCTGTATTCGTCCTGACACTTTTTGGAGCTGCGTCCAGCCGTGGTGACCAGAATTTCTGGAAACACGAACCTCCGAAACAGCGGAGACGACGACAACGACCACGACCACGACCACGACCACAACGACCACGACCTCGTCGTTGTCGTCGTCCTCGTCGTCGTCGCCGTCGTCCTCCTCCTTCTCATCGTAGTCGCCGTCGTCGTTGTCCTCCTTCTCCTTCTCGCCGTCGCCGTTGTCGTCGTCTTCGGCCCTTGAGGATTGAAGAGGAGGAGGGGGGCGGTGTAGGGGGCGGAGGATGAGGCGGGAGAGCAGGAGGAGGGGAGAGGAGGAGGAGCTTAGGAGGAGGCGGGAATAGGGCTGCATTTCATCTAGACTCCATCGCCAGCAGCTTCAAGGTTTCGAGGAGGAGGAGGAGGAGGAGGAGGAGGAGGAGGAGGAGGAGGAGGAGGAAGAGGAGTCGAGCCTTGGGGACGCAGTGCAGTCCAGCTTTGCCGCTGAATTTCAGAAGATCAGAGATGAGATGGATGAACATACTGCTTCAGTTCCCCAGGATGTGGGTGTGGTTTCTTGGGGAGTTCCCCACGACGCCGCCAGCGTCGTACATCATTGCTTTGCTTTGGGAGAGCATGCCACTCCTGTGGGCCTCAAAGCCAGCGCTCTCAATGGAATGCTTGGGGTTGTCTGTAGAGGAGGTAGTGATGGAGTTTTCGTGGGGTTCCTCTGCTGTGAAGGCGCCAAGAAAGTGAAACCTGCCAGTCTGGTGCGGCACAGCGGTATCGGCGCTATGGATCTTGCAGCGTTGGCTTCAGCCGCGTCTACGTGCTCATCTCAGGCTGCGCCCACACCGGCCTCGACCTAACTAATGTTGAACTCTCTGTTGTCCACGTGCGAGGAGGAGGAGGAAGAGGAGGAGGAGGAGGAGGAGGAGGAGGAGGAGGAGGAGGAGGATCGAGGTTCGAGGTTGGAATGCCGAGGAGCGAGGGGTAAGGGCAGGTCAGCGTCCGCTCCCTGGCCAGCTTCTCCCACGCCCTGCACGACGCTCCCGGCGGGCCTCGCCGCGTCCGTGTGGACTATTCCGAGGATGCCCTGGCGGCCGCGGCCCCGTGCAGATGACGGCGGCGACAGCGACGGCGTCTGCGATGCTTTGTATTGTTTGGGGACGTTTCTGAAGGCTCCCGTCGCCACTGCCGCACGACTGCGACCATGACGACGTGGCAACGGTGGCACTAATGACGCCGCTGGCGACGAGGAGGAGAGAGCAGGCGAGGAGGGGCAGGGGCAATGGGGGAGGGGGGAGCAGGAGGAGGAAGTTTTTTTCACCAGGGTGATGCCTGCATGCTCACGCAGGGACAATGGACTCGACCTTGACATTCGGGAGCTTTGGATGCTTCCCCCGACACATGTCCTCCCAGGTTTGAAACGCGCCTTTACCCTGAGTGACTTCCAGGCAATCCTTTTGACAGATTCCCGAACTACCTGCCTGCGTCCCCAGTGGAGTAGGAATCACACTTGCTACACGCAAATAAAAGTGTGTTACCAGCGCTCGAGGAATCGACCAGCTTGTGACGACGTCGAGCAATGGCTAGGACTCTCTCTGGTGGGGATCCCGCACAACCAGTGCTAGGAGGCTGCTGCTTTCGCCGGCTGGCCGTCAAGCACACATTGCATTTCCGAAAAATTCCGACCGAGAGATCAAATCGCGTGCAGGGTCAGGGTACTTCTTTCTCCGACCTGAGCCTGCGTCACGAGGGACCCACTCCAAAATTTCAGCGGGGCCACTCAGGTAAAGCTCAGGCCGCGAGACGTATCACAGCCCGAGCGATCTGAATCCGAAAGTAGACCCTGTCGGATTCAGCCTGGCTGGGAAAGGGGTGGAGGTGGGCTCCCCTCTTAGCAGCCAAGTCCGCTTCATCGTTACCTACTTGTTAGAGCAGCTCAACGGCTGCGAGACCCGCGCCCGAAACACGATCTTTGTGAGCCCGGGTATGAGGGGAACTGACCGTGTTTAGCAGCGTACCCGCATACTGCTTCTTATAGCTGGGCTGAGCAGAGACTGGGGGCGATGTAAGCAAAGTGGCACGGATCGTGCTTCAAGATGGTGAGGGACGTTGAACTCCTGGATCAAGCCGAAGGTTTGACACACTTATTGGAACTCCTCCTGCGGGCTTTGAGTTCCGAGTGAGACGTCCCACGAATTCCTGAACCATACGTAGCCCCACAGAGTGGTCCCGAGATACAGATCTCCACGGAGAACTTTCCGATGCGCCTTCTGAGAGTTCTTGAAACGCCAAGCCCTGTCGTAAAGTGTGTTCTTTCTCCCACTAGCCTTTCTGGAGCGCTTCTGGTTCCTGCGGGCCTTGCCAGCTGTGTCATCGATACCGAGATTGACAGCTGCCCGTGGTGAGCCGTCGCCTCCAAATACTCCGAGGAACTGGGTGAGAGACTTTCCAAGTCGAGCATTCGACGCAACCACGGCCGCTTTGTCTTCGGCGACAGAACACCACATATCTAACTGCACAGCCTGAATGACTACGGTGGGGAACTCATTCAAATCATGGCTGACAGAGGTGTCCGAGCCTACCGATGATATACAATAGTTGTCGGTAAAGACGTCGAGCATGACTGAGCGAGGGATGTCGAGCCGATCGGATACAGATTTGACGTTCTTGCGAACGAATGCTGTTGCCATGGAACTCCCTGCTATGACGCCCGTCATCGAATATATACAGGAACAGTGCGCATCTACGATAATGTAACGAACTGGGCTCCACGATAAGCCGCGATACACACGAGACATCTGCTTAAAGTCAAGCTGTGACGCGCGCTCCTCTAGAAGCTCTAGACGTCGTCCTTCCAGAAAGTCCTACAATCCTCAGCGAAACTTGCTGCACCAAAGCCGGTCCGATCTCCAAGTTGGCTCCGAAGTCTCTGCCTCCATACTGCATCATTTGTTCCATTGAAAGACGATGCTGCTAGATCAGCCCGGCTATGACTCGTGTGCCAATCAGACGCAATACATCTCCTCGCCCTTCCTTGAAGCCGATGGCAACTGCTAAAGAGCCCACTCGGGCGATGGTCTCCAGCAGATTTAGCAACAGGGGCGAGCTGGATACCACTCACATGACACGGCAGCACTCCAGCGCTCTCGATGATGGAGTACATGATGCTGAGACTCCCAAGGCACCCATCAGAAAGACTGCCGAGGTGCCTCATCGAGGAGCCGTCTGTACTGATCGCGGCGTGCGGAGAGTAGGACCTGCTAAGATGTCGGATTTCTTCTGGATGGGGAACGGGTAAGAGGATCCAAAAAGACTTGACTCGAGAGGGCTGTGGGTCAGGTTCAGCTTCCGCACGCCATCAACGCTGCTTCCGACTCAAGAAGCGAAAGAGGAAATGCAACAAGGTGCCCGAGACGCGAGAGTGTCGTAGTCGCCTTCCAAGTTTTGCACTCCCGATTCCACTTGTGTGCTATCCTCCCTCCCTGCGAAATCCCATCTAGAAGCAACTGCGATGCCGAACCAAGTCGTCGTACTTGCCGTGAGCCTTCTCGAGCTCTTTGACGATGAACTGGCCGTCTTCGGGATCCGTGACCTGGCCCATGTAGAAACCCTGGACGAGGTGAAAGCCATGTTGTGCAACTCTTCGAAAGCAGCCAGATGTCCTGAGACAGGAGGAGGATCCAGAATGCTTGCCCCTGGGATCCCGACCGTATACTTTTCGAAGCTGCCTGACAAACAAGCGCGGAACTTCCGAGACAGCCACTTGGCAGCAAACACATTTGGACATTTTCCGTGCATTCTTTAGCGTCCATTTTCGTTGTGGGCGCCTAGGTGAGCCGAGGTATCAGGCCACGAGCTCCATACGTACACAGAGACATGCGACTGCTCAGGGCAATCTCCTTATCCGCGGGGTTGGCAAATTGCGCGCGCAGTGTTTTCCAATTTCTCTGGATGTCTGATCCACGAGCCTGATCAGCCATTGGGCGAAGACCATTATGAGCACAATCCAAAGCTACATCAGGGCTAGGGGACTCCAGACCAGGACCCACAGGGACTTTCACTGACGGCTTCGGATGCTTGGTGAAGCTGAGGGCCATGATATCTCCAGGGCTTTCATGAAGGCAGGGCATTGTTGTTTTTGTGTCCGTGTCCGTGTTGGTATCAACCGACTTTATACACTTAGAGAGCCCAGTGGGGACAAACTCGTAGCCGTACTTACTGCCAGTGTTGCCAGTGCCTTCATGATGTCAAGTTTAGTATTCGGCGCTCGCAATGTCTGAGGGTAGCTTCTCAAAGAACACGCTGTCCCTGAGACCTTCGAGGCTGACGTTAAAGTCGCCGCCGACAATAACAGCACCTGAAACAAGCAGATATGCACTGCTGGCTGCGTAAGACCTGGACCCTCCCAGACTCCTGTCAACGATGCGATGCGTCAGGAGAATCGAATCCCAAGACTCATTCACTAAAATTGCAACTCCTCCACTTTCTCCTCCACCGTCACCTTCGGTAGCAGGTCCAAAGACATTCTTCCAACCGTGGGACTCGCGTCAGCTCGAAGCCTCATCGCGCAGGATCTCAGTGGGAAGTCGGACCTCGTGCACCACATGAGCGGGTGTAACCTTAAACCAAGACTGAGCTGAGGACCATGCCGTGACATCTACAGTCTGAGCGGAGAGAGAGAGAGAGAGAGAGAGACAGGGCTGGGGGGCGTACATATTTCATGGCTGGAAGGCTGGGAGTTCCAAGGACTGACTGGGGCCCTGCAAAAGAGGAGACAGGCCAGTTCAATGGATTGTGGACTCGCTTGGAGACAAAACCTTCTCACCCTGGCACCCCAAGCCGAGACGGCGGCGCCAGGGGGCGATGTTTTCTGATACCCACGAAGCAAGTGTTTAGCGCGGCGCTTGACATCAACCTGGGGAACTTTCCACTTTCCTTTACCAGTGGTAGAGGATGGGTTGTTACTGCATGATGGTGCCGACGCAGAGGCTATACTCCGCCCAGCAGCCGCTGCAGCTTCACCTGGAGGCTCGTCACCTGCACCGGGTTCTCCTCCACCAGGCTGAGCTGTACCGTCATTGTTGATCTTTCTCTTGCCCAGCTTGGGCACGCGCTCGGCGTGGAGCGCTGGTACTCGTCGGCCTTGGTAAGCAACTCACCGAACAACTGTTTGGCGATGTCCCAGATGCCCTCGTTGAGGTACTGGCGTCGCTTCTTTTTTAACTGACAGAGACTGACCGCAAGCGAACCAGCCTTCGTTTGAAAAACAGCTAGCCAGCGCAGGGGACGCATTCGACCCGACCCCACGCACCTGGGGATGGGTCGCCGTCGTCCTCCTCTACACTGGCAATGGGAAAGCCAGAGAGGCCGTCCCACAAGGCCAGATCGGCCTGGAAAGCGGGCGGCGGAGAGCACTCCTGCCCCGTCCACCCCACCCCCACCCCCCCACTCCCAGTCCCGACCGGAGGAGAAAGAGCAGGCAGAGGCGGCAGTTCGGCCGACTCCAGCAGCCTTCGCTTCCGCAGCAAAATCGGAGGGCCCACAAAATCGCGGGCCCGTAAAGGATGGCAGCCTCGCATGAGGTTGCGCAGCCTGTAGTATCTCGAGTCTCTCACCAGGACACCCTGCCTACGATTCATCGGTAAGCAATCCTGCGAAAGACCCTGGCTCTTCTTTTCCGAAAATGCCCCGCACAGAGAGCAGAACAGGAAAGGCCCCGCGCGGTGAAGTGCGTGGGAGCTGGACCTGTCGTCACATCGAAGCTGGCGAAGCACCGAGCGTGTCCTCGCTGATCGAAGGCACACCATGCATCGGAACCTGTGCGCAACCACCGTCACTGCAGGGTCGAAACGCGAGTGCGGCTTCGGGGGACCAAGTCCCCCCTCAATCGTGCCTATGGCACGGCCGAGTATTTGCGCTTGGGCGTCACGTGGCGTGATGGTGCCGATCCGAGCGACCAGCCTGGTACAGAACTGGGCTACAAGGCGGATGGCGCTGCGCGACGCGCCATGCGCAGATCGCAGCTGGAGGGAATCACTATGCATGGCGGCACCCCATTTAGCCGACTGATCAGCCTGGGCATTG